ATAATGACCTTTATCACAATATGCTAATTTTTTTAGAAGGACCTGTAGTGTAGAGGCAGGGCAGCCGACTCAGGATCCAAAGGTTGTGGGTTCGATCCCCAGTCATTGCACATCTCGTGGTGTCTGAGCAGGAAATCTCATCCCCAGTTGCTCCCCTGGCACTTTCAATAGCTGCCCACTGCTCCACCTGTTGGTGGGTGGGTGAAATGCAGAGAGCCAATCTCGCCATTGTATGAGAACATACAATTATAAGTATTATTAGTAGTATTCAAAAGACCTATTAACTGCATTTTCTTAAATGCAAAACCTTTACACTTAGTGTGAACATAAAAACAGTGAAAAGAAAAAAAACATAAAAAAGAAACAAGTATTTTTGTCCACTAAAATGTTGAACAATTGAAAGGTTCCTGAAGTATAAAAAAGAACCAAATATAAATATTTTCTTTGAATCACACAGTTATGTCACCGTTTATTTTCTTGGTCCTCGCTCCTTAATATGAAATGTCAAAACCTGTTTTAGTTGTTTTTATAAATAAATAAAAAAGATAATAATAATACTGAAACAGTTTTATTCCTGCTAATTCTAGATTTTATTCTGTTGTCTACTGATTCTAAAGTGCAAGTAGAATCTGAGCCCAGAAATGTTCTAGCCACAGAGCTCAAGATTGACTTTTTGGCAACAAATTTTAGACGCTGCATCACTGAGAGAGGCGCAAACGGGAAAAAACAACAACCCCTAAACTAAAGACAATAATGGTGAATCTCCTTCTTCTCATCTCCTCCTTTATTTCCCCATGCAGCCTCGGTAGCATTGCAAAAGCTGTAGGTTCTAGAGTTTTAGACTCTTAAGAATGGGCCAATTTTAAATCATGCAGCCACATCCAACAGGCCGAAAAGCCACACAGCATGTTCCCTCACAGAAGCCATGTTATTATAACTATTTTTCCCCTCCTCTTCCTTTTGAGTTCTTTTATTTCCCTTAAACCTGGTCCTGGGCAGCTGGAGACCAGAACTGTTGCTAACTGCAGTGTTGGATGTTGTTTGGGTACCAAAGAGGATGAGGATGGACTGAGGTCAATAACGTCATAGGGGGCAGAGTGACAGAGAGGAAAGAAATATGATACTGTAGTATGGATAGATGGGTCTGTGAAAGTCACATTGTTTAAAAGTTGGCACATTACACAGTAAAAATGCCAGTGTTAAAATCTTAGGTGTAGTGTTAAATTAAAAGTGTTGGTGTTGTTTTAACACACAGCTGTAAAATAACATTGCCAGTGTAACTTCTGACATGTTTATGTTGTTAAATTCGAGTGTTAATTGGTTGATGTTGCTTAAGCCATGCCTTCATGTGGTTGCAACGTGAATTCTCCTTTTTGTTAGCTCACCACCACCGCATGGTACTGCTTCTTTTCCCACACGGAAGACAAAATTATTTCCTAAAGGTAAGTTAAATGTCTATACATGATTATTGTTTCGATGGAAATGTGCTTTTTAGTTTGTGACTTCAACAAATATACTATACTTAGCCCATTTTGCAAGGAAAATTCACCAAACTCAAGGTCCTGCCATCTTGCCAAATCTAGGCGAACTGTAAATTTGAATTCTAATGTTATATTTGGTCAGTTCTAGTTTATGCCTAAGGCTCATCTGGCTGTATGGTCTTAAATATTGGTGATGTGTGTGTGTGTGTAATAGGTTAATAAGATTATTCAAATTTCACAAAATCAGTAGCTTTTTAAAATATTTCTACCTGTTTGAGCACGGCCGTAATATTTCCTACGGCCCTTGAACGCACCCAGGCTACGTGTCACGTAGCCTGCACCTGCATGTTTAGAGAGAGGCTAGATGCTGCTTTGGGCTACTGGAGGTAAATGGACTGTACTTATATAGCACTTTTCTATCTATTCAAGACACTCAAAGCTCTTTACAGCACAATCTGTGACCTCATGTACCCATTCATACAGCACTCTACTAGATCTGTACAAAGAATAATCAGTGTTTTAGATCAGATTCATACACTGATGGGACACACATCAGAGGCAATGAGTGATTCAGTGTCTTGCCCAGGGACACTTCAGCATGTGACTGCTGGTGGAATCGAACCCCCAACTCTCTCATTGGAGGATGACTGTTCTAATTACATGGCCACAGCTGTCCCAAGTAGGTTTAGAACAACATGAAAAAGACGATAAATCGATTACAAAACAAGGCTGTGCAATGTAGTGAAACATTTCATTAAAATGTAGGATATTTTGTAAATCAAATCCAGATATTGCAAAATCCCATCAAGCACAACCTTAAAGATTATTTCAGAATAACAGCAGAGGCAGTCTTGTAGGTTTTGGTTTAAATTAGTTGTGAACATTTGGAGGCATTTTAAAATGTTTCCTCTGCTTCATGTTTTCCCTTTGTGGCCAAAGCAGATTAAATAAAAAAACATAGGAGTGTCTCCTACAGCAGGAGGCTCACCTTTCAGTTTAGTTCTAGTTTCCTAAAGTGATCTATAGCTCAAGGAGATGTTGCATCACTGCTGAAATTATTAAATTGTTGAAAGCAGCTGACAGAAATGATCCCTGAGAAGGTAGTTTCAGGTTAGAAATGTCAGGCCACAGAAACACCAGTCCTTTGAAGATCAGAGCAAATGTCTGTGCCTTGATCTGAGATCTTCACATGTTCTGCTCACCTCAGTTTCCACACTGAAGCTGCCCACCTCCAGCTGAAACATGACATCTTAAGTTGAACCAGCAACTAAACCACATTTCAACAAGGATGAAGGAAAACTGTAGAGGGGGAGGACAAAAAACGAGGATAATGTGAAAATGAAATTGGTATTTTAAATCTTTCCCAGTGCTGCCATATTATACTCTGGAAGGCTTTCGTCTGGTTTCTGTCTTCCACAAGAATGAATGGTTCACATCGTCTAATGGCCTTCAGGCCATCTACACCAGCATTCTTTGTCTAATGACATGCCGTGACACTGCAGAATGTCAGATTCTGAAGACAGCCAGGACTGGAAAGATGGTGGATCATTTATTGAGAACAGGACGTTTTCACTTTCCAGACTGAACACTAATCAGGATTATCACTGTGAAAAAAATCACTGTAATGCCACTTCATTGTTGATATGTGCTGCTGACTATACATGATGCTGATCTCATGCCGCTGATTATTTCACGCTGCTGTGTTCATTCGTACTCATCTTCTCACACAGACTCATGTTCATGCTGCTTTTGTTCAGTGTATTGTGTTTGTACTATTAGTGTTTAGAGTATTTTTAGTTTAACATACTGTATTTCTAAGGGTGCATTCACACCAGCCCTGTTTAGGCCGCTTTAATCGAACTCTAACTCGTTTTCCTAGAAAGTCCGGTTCGTTTAGGGAGGTGTGAACGTGCCATCGAACTCTGTCACGGAACAAAAAGACGAACTCTGGCCCGGGCTAAAACCTAGGTCTCGGTCCGATAGAAGAGAACTCGAGCGCGCTTCGAGTACAGTGTGAATGTAAACAGACCGAGCCCCACTCCACAGGGTAAACAAACACGCATGTCTCTTACCTTATATGGAGCCGTCAGCTGCCTTGTATGAAAAACAATATTCTCCATGGTCTTCTGTCTCATCTTCTGCTCATGCTGTCCATTTTTGAAAAATGACAAAATACAACTCCTAAAACTGTTAAAACTTGATGCCACTTCGTTTTTGTTTTTATTTACAGAAGAAGAAGAAGATGTGTCTTCAGAGGTTTTTGTGTCGTTTCTTTCAGTAGTTCTTGGTGCTGCGTCCCCACAGGCGAGCGGGGGAACAGGTTGGTTCAACAGGTTGACTTGACTGCACAGTGCAGTGTGAATGCAAACGCACCAGCTCAAATGTAAACAAAAGGTCATGAATATTGGTCCCGAACCGAGTCTACCGGACTATCAGGTGTGAAAATGACCTTAGTTCATATCTTAGATCTTATTACTGTTTTTCTTTTACAATTTATATTTTTGGTGGCTGTAACTGGGACCCTGTGTACACAATTCTGTTCCACCACATGTACCAAATGTGGTGCGGATGACAAATCAATAAAGAAACTTTTACTTTGAACCTCCTTTCCATTCAGAACAACATTCAGAAAGTCAAAATTCATGCTCAATAATCCAGGTAAAAAAAAATAATACAACAAAGTTAAGTCAGGTCCTCTGGACAGTTTGTCCAGAGGACCTGACTTAACTTTGTTGAACATTCAGAAATGTTGATTGTTCAACCCTAAGCATCCTCTCTGAATTCTGTTTGGTAAAAGATGCTTTAAGATAAAAGACATGCCCCCTGCATCCAACTCCATTGCACTCCTTGAAGGAGAAGAATTGATGAGGTAAGATGAGGGTAATGTTGAAATGGATGGAAACAGATGTAAGTTGATGGGCTGCTTACAAGAAGTTAATCAGGTTTGATGGAACAAAAGCCCAAAGGAATAGACAATCAGGCATGTAAACAAATGTTTAGACAAATTATATAAAGTTTTAGGGTAAGTTTAACATCTTACCTCCCCATCAATCTGGTTTCAGGAAACAACACAGCACAACGACTGCTTCACTGAAGGTTCTTAATGACATTGTTGAAGCACTGGATGCTAAGGATTATTGTGCTGCACTTTTCTTAGGGTGTATTCACACCAGCCATGTTTAGTCCACTTTAATCAAACTCTAGCTCGTTTTCCTAGAAAGTCCGGTTCGTTTGGGGAGGTGTGAAAGCGCCATCAAACTCTGTCACGGAACAAAAAGGCGAACTCTGGCCCGGGCTAAAACCTAGGTCTCGGTCCGGAAGAAGAGAACTCCAGCGCGGTTCAAGTACAGTGTGAATGCAATCAGACTGGGCCCCGCTCCACAAGCAAGAAGTGGAGTACAGTGCAGAGCAAACAAACACACATTTCTCTTACCTCATATGGAGCCATCAGCTGCCTTGTGTGAAAAACAATATTTTCCATGGTCTTCTGCTTCATCTTCTGCTCATGCTGAGTCAATATTTGAAAAATGACAAAATATAACTCCTAAAACTGCAAAAAACTTGATGCCACTCCGTTTTTGTTTTTATTTCCAGAAGAAGAAGAAGAAGTGTCTTCAGAGGTTTTTGTGTCGTTTCTTTCAGTAGTTCTTGGTGCAGCGCCACCACAGGCAAGTGGGGGAACAGGTTGGTTCAACAGGTTGACTCGACTGCACAGTGCAGTGTGAATGCAAATGCACCAGCTCAAATGTAAACAAAATGTTATGAGTATTGGTCCCCAACCAAACCGAGTCTACCGGACTATCAGGTGTGAAAACGACCTTAGACCTGTCTAAAGCTTTTGACACTGTGGAACATAACATCTTGTGTCATAAGCTCTCAGAAATTGGTTTCACAGATCACCCCATTGTTCTCTAACTATCTTTCAAATTGGATGCAATGTGTTCAAAATAATGGTACTTCCTCCAGTTATTTAACAGTCAACAATGGTGTACCACAAGGCTCAGTCTTAGGACCCACCCTCTTTACAATCTACGTAGGTAATGTAGGTCAGAGCATCCTCGACGCATCCTTACATTTCTATGCTGATGACAGTTGTTTATTGTCGAGCTAAAACGGTTGATAAGGCTTTCCAGCTTTTGCAATCCGCATTTGACATCATCCAGTCAGATTTGGTCCACCTCAAACTTGTCTTAAATGCCGATAAAACCAAACGGATGCTTTTTTCAAACAGGAAGTCGTTCCCAGCAGTTCTTCCTCTGATTTTATCCTCAAATGGTGTCACTATTGACTTTGTTGATTCCTATAAATATTTGGGTAACTTGGTTGACTCGCATCTCTCTTTTAAGCTTCACGTGGAAAGCTTAGTAAAGAAACTGAAAGTTAAACTGGGTTTCTTTTTCAGAAACAGATCTTATCTAACTCTGAATGCTAGGAAACGCCTTCTAACTGTGTCTTTCCTTCCCTCCATTGATTACGGTGACATTATTTACATGAATGCTCCTACAAGCACCCTGCAGATGTTGGATGCTGTCTCTCACGGTGCACTAAGATTCATAACAGGCTGTGATTATCGTACCTACCACTGCAACCTGTATTCACTGGTTAACTGGACATCATTAATATCCTGATACATGCTCAATAATCCAGGTAGAAAAATCCAAAAAAGTTCAATCTGGTCCTCTGGACATTCAAAAAAAAAAGATGCATCACTGAGATATAACTGTAGCAACAATATAGGGGGCACTGTGTAGGCTATTGGCCACTTATCATGGATTCCTGTTCAAAGAGTGGATAATGATCGATCATACTGATTTTGGTGCACCTCGTTTCAAATCTGTGGAATTTATAGCCAAACGTATTACAACGGCGTCACTTCTGAATTTGTCACGTCACCACACCCACATTCTCCTTCATAAACTGTTTGTCATGTAAAGTAACTCATACCAACTTGTTATATGTCTTCTAACACAAGATCATCCAGATTAGGTCAAGGGTGTCAGAGAGGGAGCATTCCAAGTAAAAGAAGTGACTTCCTGTTCTGAGGGGGCGAAGTTAATGATGGAGTGATTAAGTGAGCGATTAAGTCATTAAGTCATTAAGTGAGCAAAGTTAATGATGGACATCACTAACTTCACGCAGACTCTGTCAATGGTATATTTTCATCTTTAAATCATTTCTTGATCTGTTGCCTTCATACATCTCCTCCTACATCTCTGCGTGAGTGCAGCTACAGTGTGCGCTCTCAGGACAAGGGCCTTCTCCTACTCCGCACCTGTTTCCTAGAATATCATGCAAAAAGATCTGAAGGTCTCGACCTTAATCTCTCCAAGTGGTTTTAAGAATATTTTGGACTCCTGGCAAGGACCAATGCAGACATGTTCCTGTTTTTAAAATTTTTCAGTCAGGACTTTTTTGTTCCTGTTATTAGTTTTCTACATTTGCCTGATAACCTAGCTGTTTTGCTATTTTTTCCCATTTTGCTTTAATTGGTATTTAACAAAATCTATATGCGTCTTTTATGATTGTCTACGGTTGATTCTGTTGTCCATTGTTGTCATCATTAGGCCCGAGCAGCGAAGCACTGCGAAGGCCTATTGTAATCGCTCTGTTCAGGCCCGAGCTACAATTTTTTCCGCCAAATGAATGGGCTTTTTGGGGGCCTCGACATATCCAACAAGTCACCAAATTTGGCGGACGCATCAGGACTGCTGAAAAATTACATATTTTAAGGGCGTTGCAAAAATCGCAACAGAAACAGCTCAAGAGCACCACTTGGAAATTTTTTAAATACCCTCCGCATTAACCTTAGTTTGTCGGAGAAACATGAAATTTGGTACACTTGTCCAATACTCCAAGATGTACAGAAAACCCTCTGGCACCAATGTTGTAAGATAAACAGGAAGGCAGCCATTTTGGAATGTCGGCCCAATTTTCACACCATTTTGACGGTTTACATTTGAACGAACTCTTCTTAGGGATTTTGCTCAATCGGTTTCAAACTTGGCCATTTTGGTCAAAAGCCATTGGGAACAAAAACTTATCAAAATGGTGCAAACCAAAGCATGCTGAAGGGGCGGGGCCAGACCTCAAAGTTTGACATCTCACCATGAAAAACAAAATGCTAATAGCTCCTACACAAAAACTGTCTGAGACATGAAACCTTCAGTGATTGATCCACATCCGGTCCCCTGCAAGACAATGGTCAAATCATGACATCACTTAAGCCACGGCCCCTGACAACAGGAAGTGTAAAGTTTGATGTTGAACGGTCCCTACCTGACCACTGTTACCTGATCAGCATGACAGTGTGTCCAGTGACCGAAGACATGTTTGTGTAACTTGCTTTCCAACACTGACAGTTTTGGGTGGAGCATGTGGGCGTCGCGACATGGCAAAATAAGACGTAACACCATCGCCCTACGTTTGGGTCTAAATTCCACAGATTGGAACCGAGGTGCACCAAAATCAGTATGATCGATCATTATCCACCCCTTGAACAGGAATCCATTATAATTGGCCAATAGCTTCCACAGCGTCCCATACAATATTATAAAACCTCAGCCCCAAGCCATTTTTGGACAGATAATTCTGAAACTCGGTGAACATCTGTATCTTCTCAGGACCTATGCAAAAGTCCCTTGGAGCCCTGGTCCAAAACCAACAGGAAGTCGGCCATTTTGAGTCAAAGGGTCATTTTTAGGCGTTTCTAATTGCAAATTTTAACGAACTCCTAGGGATTTTGAAGGATTGCCTTCAAACTTGGTTAATATGCCTTTAACACATTGGGGAATACAAGTGATCAAAAGCTTGTGATTTCGTATATGTTAAAGGGGCGTGGCCAGGCCTCAAATTTGCATTTCACGCTGTAATTTCAAAATGCTATAACTTTCACACTGAAAGACCAAAATGCACCAAACTTGGCATGAGTCATCCCTGTTGGATGCCCGACGATCCTCTGTGGTCATATTCTGATGTCATCAAAGCCCCGCCCCCTCAGAAC